ACTTCTACAAGTTTGTGGAGTGTACTGTACACCTCTCATAACCGGAAAAAATTACAAATTGATGCCTTAAAAATCAAATGGACGCTAGCTACATATGTATGCGCGTTCTTCTAATGGACGCTTACCCTAGTAGAAATAAAGCCACAGACGCCTACATACCTACATATGTATATATGTACATATGCACATATGCATAGTACAATTGGATCGCTGCTGAATTGTCAGACACTGCGGCAGGCATTTTTTTAAACGCAAATACCCATACATAATCCATCAATTCATGCAGAGCTCATTAATACGTAAAAAAAAACGAACAGCTAAAAACTAACCAAAAAAATGTTTTTCTCGAAAACTAAGGCAACCCAAGCAACACATATGTATGTATATGTAGCTGACCATTTCAAGCCATTATCCAAAACATACAAAAGCCATGATCATTTTAAGGGCAGCAAGTATCTACCTTTTTTTCAATTTATTCTTCGTCGAAAGAGGAATACCATTCTTTGGCTGTTTGCGCAGGGATTATTGAAATTTGCTATGAGCAAAGGATATACAAAAAGCAAAAAATACAAGAATATAAAAAAAACAAAAGGATCAAATGTGTGCATGTGTGTGTTGCGCAGAGCATGTGTGGCAGCAGAGAGAAAGGTGTAAGAAAAAGAGCAACTAAATAGTCGCACGGGTTGGCAACCAAAACGAAGCCAGCCGGAAAGAAGTCAAACGAAAAGCCGGCTGTGCGTGGAAGGCAGCTGTTTTGTCTTAATAGATTTTTGTTTGTTAAAAACTATTGAAAAATTTAAAATAAATGCTGAGTGCGGCACCAGCAAACTAACAGGCTAACCTAATATTCGCGGCTTGCGTTTTGGTACGCACGCCGTAGCCTTATTTTTATTGCATCACCCGAAATTGACTTGCGTGCGTTTCTTCCATTTGATTTCATTGAGCGAAATGTCAAATCAAAATGTCACGCAGAACAAAAATTGGAAATTGAGTTAGCTTCATACGCACGCCGTTCAATTTCGGGTGGTCCCATACAAGTTGTATTTACATGAGAAATTTTTGACGGTAAAGTGGCGGCGTGCGTGAATATTAGGTTAGCCTGTAACTGGCATATGGTGATTCAAATAAGTATCTATATTTTTTAATGTGAATAAGCATGCCGAAACATTTTAAAATGCAGTATTTCGCTTGTTGCCGCAACATGCATCTAAACATTTTTCTTCCGTACATACATATACGGTTGTAAGTACAAAAAAATAGGCGACAGCTGTCACTGCTATTTTTTTCACTAAATAAAAGTCTTTATATTTCCATTTATTTGTATTTATATTTAGGTACTAAGTATATGTAGGCCATATCACGCTTCATACAAAAGTACTATACATACATATGTAAATTGCGATGAAACTGTAGCACAAAAAGTAATATAATAAATTTAAAGAAAAATTGTGTAGCATTCACATGTGCACTCGCAGACACCCAAATAAACCATTTATCATGTGACAGTAGCCCAACAACAATTTTAGCCGGCATAACAAACACACAGACAAGCCTGCATATGAACGTCGAGTTGCACACGAAAATCAATTTGTCATTATGACAGCGCGCGGACAGAGGTAAGAGGTAGAGAAATAACGTATGTTGTCCAGAGAGTGTGGCAAACAGGCTCAACAGCCGAACAAAACAAATGTCGATGGAGTCCAGTTTTGTGTGTAGCTGCTGAAGTTCAGTGTCGACACGCACAAATTGCCAGTGTGACAAGTCGAAAGACGTCAGACGAAAGTGAGTCTGAGAAGATGAAAAAATAATGAAGTATATATATATGAGATACATAGATACACAAAGCAAAAAAATAAAAATAAAACAAGTAGAAAAACATATATTTTGCGTTTTGACAGATATTGGTCAAAGTTAACAACGTGCATGCTAGCGCGCTTGTCACTTTTTGACAGCTGGTAATGTCATTGTGACGTTTGTCGGCGCTTAGGCATGCGATCTGCTTATATGTATGTACATATATACCTACATACTTATTTATGTCTATACTTGTGGCATGCGTTGTTAGAAAAAAGAGGAGCAAAAGGTGCTGTTGCGCAGCGTACTATGTAAACAGCTGATTCATTGATTTTGACAGCTGAAAAAGAGTATTTGGTGCGTTTGATGATCCGCACGCATATTGGCTTATCATCTATTAGTTGTTGTTCCTGTTGTTACACGTGAACTTACACTTGTTGTAGTTTTTATATACTGCTGGCGCTGCTATGTCGTACATACTTAGTAGATAAGTTGATTTTTGCCAATTTTTTGACATCTGTTGTCAATGTTGATTAAGTCACACAGCGCAACAGTTTGTCAAGCAGGCATGCCAAAGTCCGACTGACAAATATAGCAGCAGGTAAGCATGGCAACAACAGCACAAAACTTACATTTTTATTAATAACTTGGTGGACAACAACAACTGCAGCAGCAGCAGCTCATAAATAGCCACTGCCTACAAGATGCCCATTCGCTTGAGCCTATACGAGCTCTCGCAACATGGTCAACAATTTTTGTATGTTTACATATGCATCTACATATGTAAATACATACACACATACATGCATATGTATTTATTATATGTATCTCCTGTGTTCTTATATAGCATTTATACCTCTGTGCTTGCTGAGATTTATTACGTTTTCGTGCAGCAATGACCCTCCTTTTTAGCGCTGTTGCTGTCACATACTTGTTGATTTCAATAAATTATTACCATTTATGCAGGTTTTTGGCGCTGCTCACAAACACATTTGTTAATTGCATATTTACTGTTTTTACGTGCCTTACACTCACTCAGTACACTGTCCAGTACTCAAGCGTCTCTCTTGCGCGCCCCGAACCGCACCGCAGCTTCTCTTCTTCTTCTTCTCCATCCTAGCGACACGTTTTTAGTTATCATTTGTTGTGTTGTTTTTTTTTGCTCTCCCGCACAGTATTGTAGCGTAATTTATTTGGTGTGGGGCAACGTTGACGCTATAAAACAATTTAAAACAATTTAACCATTAATTTTAAGACAAACGTTTTAAGGTCAGCAACACGCTGCCTACGTCGGTGGATAACCACTAAATGTTGCAGATTCGGTTTGGGGATCTCGATTGTACAGAAATGTTCAATTTCGCTATCTGAGAATGTTGCTTAAACATGCGTCCGCAACAATGTTGCTTATTGATAGTAATCAAGTGTTAATGAGGAATACTTTTTTGATGTTTTTGCTATACCTATGTACATTAGGGTGGTCTTTAATGTAGGTAGTAAATTTTTACATCAGATTTCCTAAGCCTCAACACCTACATCCATGCGACTATAGTCGAAGATATCACATATAAATTTTGGTGCCGATTGGAGACGGTTGAGGCGTGTCGCACAACTTCACTGAGGGAGTGACACCTAAAACAATCCTTTATTTGATTTTAAAGTCCACATACTTACGAGTCAATAGCAAATATGAGCTATATGTAGGTATGTACATATTTATACTTAGAGTGGTCCAAACAATTTTTTTTTTCGAGATAGGGTTCGGGCTACATTCCGAAATTTTTCCTCTTGCGCATTTTAAGGTGATTGAGCGCCCTGTATTTCTTACAGTAGAAAATTGAAAGTTGGTATAGATATTACAAATACCAAAATGAAAAACCTGAGGGGGTGTCCCATTTTCTAAAACCGAAATTTTTTCTTCCCATACAAAACTTGAACCACTCTAATGTATGTACATACATATATGTATGTATGAAATCATGTAATTGATTTTTAAGTGCTCACAACTAAAATGATATCATACTAGTATGTACATATAGGTATTATTTGTATAAAGACAAAAAAAAATCGTCAGTTTTTGCCATTTATAGGTACCACTTTCCGTACCAGCTTTAAAAACTTTCCCGCTTATCTAATGCGCGTACAGTCCCTATACCACAATAACAACGTAACAACATAACAACACTTCACTCCGCACACAAAATGCCAACAGCCAACAACTGCCGTCAAGTAAAGACATTCCACGCACCAACGCCAATGCAGCTCATTATTTATACGCATTTATTGGTGCCACCACAGCGTGCAACATATCAAATGATGCCCCTGCAACTTCATGGCCCCACCGTTCTCTCGCTTCGCTGTTCACCCGCCTGTTCGACTGCATATACATATGTATGTATGTATGTACGGAGCGTTCACTGTGCCATCGTCCCGGCGCGCGAAAGGTGGCTATGGTTACGCCATAAACGCGAAGCACCAAATCACTCTGCATACGGCGGCTATAAGTAGATGTGAGGCCAGACAGATGCACCACATGTACATACATACATGTACTAACTATGCACATATGCAAGCACCTACCCTCAAATGACTTTTCGGAATAACTTTGCAGTTAGTATCCAGCGGCGTATGTAGCGCCGTCAAATTGCAAGCTACACATCTCCTACTCCTCCTCCACATAACGACACTCCTCCCGCTCCTCACGACTCATATGTAGTAGTGCTCTTTCGCTAAAAATGTTTTGCTTCATCACCGGCTTTTTGAAAGTTCTTCTTCGTGTACTTTGCGGGCGTTGCTAAAAATGGCTGCCGCTGATGCGACTCTCCGTGCATGCTCTAATTAAAATGCATTACTTAGTACCTTGGTCACTCTCAGCTCAACTCCAACTAATGCTTTGCATGATGAGCAATGCAGTTGGTGCACGGAGTTTTCCCCGAGTGTGCATTTCTTTTTTCGTTCAGCTCCCGCTAAAGGGCTACGATGGGCATTGGTGGCCACAAACTTTTAGTAAGCACTGTTTTGTGGTTATTAGTGTAAACAAATGCACTTTTTATTGGGCTCTTAAGTGCGTCTATTTGGGTTTTATATTGTTTTTTTTTTTAGTTTTTGGTTTTCAGTTTCTTCTTATTTTGCCATTAGGTAGCTCTATTTTTGTAAATATTTACTCAACAATTTCTAATGATATGTTTTTTCTTGCGTTTTTCTTGCAGACATCCGCTATTCCCGCTCTTGGCGCTAATATTTGAAAAATGTGAGCTGGCCACATGTACGCCTCGAGAACCTGGCGTGCAAGGTGGTGATGTCTGTTCGTCAGAATCATTCAATGAAGATATCGCAATGTTCAGCAAACAGGTAAGAGGAGAAATACTAAATTATGCATATTTTTTAAAGTTATTTTTTTAGTGTATTAAAAATTTAAATTCATTATTACATTAAACACGAGAAAGAAAAATAATATATATATACAGAATCTTACATTCTGAATGTACTTGAGCTCAAACGTGTGCACAGAGTAGTTCTATATAGACGTATTAGTTCGGTGTGGATTTCTCATGTTTTGTGCCTCGAAATCTGGTCAACACTGGATTTGCCCAGTCTGAAGACGAACTCTTAAGATCCAATGAGTTTGTTCATAAAGGGATTCAGTTTCTCACATAGTGTTGTAAATAGGACTTTTGTATTGCATACTAAGAGGGCTTATCTCGTAGTAATTTCCACAAACAGCAGATTATTGGGCGAAGTACACAAAGATTCCCAACTTTGCTCATATTAGATCATTTCCAAACGTGCTTGACAGCTGGCACAGCTGGTATTCCGTCGGCCAGAGGGGCCTGGTTGTTCTTAAGCCTCATTACTGCAGATTCCAGTGGAGTGGCGTGAGCATCGTCCCTATGCACTTAGATGATAGAAATATTTAAGCTTTAAAGGTCTGCATAAAAAATGGTTTAGAATTTTATCAACGGAATCGAAATAATGCCATTTTTGGAGGTACATATTTTCAAATCATTCTCGCTCACGTAAATCTGAATATTTTTTGAAATATTTTCAAAGAAATTAAAATAGATGTAATAGTTTTTACAATTCCGGTGGAAAAACTGCAAATTTTTTTTTTGGTGATGCACCCTAATGTAAACAACGTTTCATTTCTTCCATTTAAAGCACAGTTTTTTTCTAAACAATTTTGTTTAGTGTTACGTTAGTGAGCACGTTTTAGATTTGTTTTTCAAGTGCCTCCTGGTTTCGTGTTACCACACAGCTTTGCTTAAAATGTGGTTAACCGATTCCGAGCCCACCTAACTAATCCCCTACTTTGCCATATGTGTACTCTCGATTTCCTTGAACTCTCTCACTTTCCTTCTTGAAAATCCAACTCAAGTACCGCGTAATAGTATTTCACTTTTACCAGCGAAATATTCTCAGTTTCCGTTGTACTACGACAGCCGTTCTGCCAGAAACAAACAAAATTTTCCCACATCTATGCCACATTTGCAGCTAATACTTAAGAATAAATCTTATATTCTTATACATAGTATGCAAGTAATTATGCGCGCATTTGTAGTGCGCGAGTGGTGTACTCACATCCCATCACCGAATGATGGATTATCTGCGCTATATTGCGCTGCCTGAATGACAGACGGGCTGCTGAATACCAACCAGCCTACCATTGCCTGCCAGAATGCCAGCAGATCCACTTCACTGGTAATTGGAGATTATTTTTCCAAAGCCAACACATGTGGCACACTCGCTGGCATACTTGAAAGCGCACAAAACTGTTAAACGATCAGATTACGGCGCGAAATAACTAAAAACAACAAGAAGAAATGCGACAGTCAGTGAGAGTGAGTTGTTTTTCATTTAAGCAAAGTACTACAATATAAATACATACATACATATGTATGTATGTATGTTTGTAAATGCAAAGTCTAAATCAAGCTGAGTTGTTGCAGGGTCGCCTTATGACTTCAATCATTTCGTCCAAATCCGGCAGAAGTACTTGAGTCACCATCAGAGCGCTGTGAAAGGGCAGACATGCATATTCATACTTACATTAATGTATACATATGTATGCGTATATTATTAAGTAGGGATACTTAATTTAATTTTGGTAAATTTTTTCCTCGCCCCTTTAACGTTTGGTAGTTGCTTTAGTTTGTCTGTTGGTTCTGCACATCCGTGGCGTTGAAATAAAATACTAAAGATGCACAACAATAATATTATTTCGGTGGAAAAAACGTCATTTTGAGCACAAACAGATGTGACAAATGTGTGTGCGCACTTATGACGAGCAGAACATCGAGCGGATGGACGGATGAGTGGTGGGATGCCAACTTCCAAGACCGGGCATACGCTTGTAGAAAAAAAAACACTCAGCATAACAAGTCTACTTGTCAGCAACGCCCGCTGCCTGTCCCAGCAATGGTAAGGCGCACTAATTGAGCGCGTATGGTGAGCAAAATTAAAAAGAAAAATTTAAATAATGATTTAAAAAGAATTGAAGAAAATAATTAAGAATGTGAAACAAGCAAATCCAAAGGAAATACAAAGACGACGAAAATTGAAAACACAAGTTGCCACTTCCTTTGCGCAGGGCAGCTGGAGTCAATACAAATGTAAATATCAATAAAAAAAAAAAATATTAAAAAAAAAATCAGTACTTCAGCCAAGAGCGCTCCCCATAACACTTTTGCGCTTCCTTTCAATGCTGCAGCAGTCGGCAACAATTTCTGCAACATTTTATTTGCCACCGCGTATGTGTGGCGTTGGTGACTCCATAAAAACGCACTTGTTGGCTGCCACACTGACATTTAAATAATTTACGATGTTTTAACATCAAAATTATGTTGAGCGCAGTGCGGTTGTGGGTGCGGGTGTGGTTTCCTTTGTTATACCTTTCATGAGCATGAAATGGTATTATAACTTTGGTCCGATGTTTGTAAGTACCAGAACAAAAAGAGATAGACCCATGAAAATGTATACTTATATGATCAGAACGTCGAGCTGAGTTGATTTAGCCATGTCCGTCTGTCCGTCTGTCCGTCTGTCCGTCTGTCCGTCTGTCCGTCTGTCCGTCTGTCCGTCTGTCTGTCTGTTTGTATGCAATCTAGTCTCTCAGTTTTCGAGATATCCGGATGAAATTTGGTAGGTGGGTTTATTTTTATAATGTATTAATCATTTGTCGGAACCGGAAGAATCGGACCACTATAACATATAGCTCCCATACAACTGATTGTTCAGATATGAGATTTTTCATTATAACTTCGCCATTTATGCAGCTACGAACATGAAATTTTGCAATACTTGCACCCATTATCAACAGAATACTTATAGTGAAAATTACAAAGATCGGGTCACTATAACCTATAGCTCCCATACAACGGATTGTTCAGATATAAAATTTTGCGTTATAACTCCTCCATTTATATAGCTAGGAACATGAAATTCCGCACTGTTTTCAATAATTATCTACAGAAAACTTACAGTGAAAATTAAAAAGATCGGGTAACTATAACCTATAGCTCCCATACAACTGATTGTTCAGATATGAGATTTTTCGTTATAATTCATCCATTTATGTAGCTAGGACCATGAAATTTCGCGCTGTTTTCACTCATTATCAACAGAAGACTTACCTCGAAAATAATAAAGATCGGGTCACTATAACCTTCAGCCCCCATACAACTGATTGTTCAGATATTAGGTCTTTTATCATAACTCCTCCATTTATGCAGCTAGGAACATGAAATTTCGCACCATTTTCACTCATTATTAACAGAATACTTACAGTGAAAATAACAAGGATCGGATGACTACAACATATATCTTCCATACATCTGATTGTTCAGATATGGGATTTTACTGTAAAACTTCTTTATTTGAATAGCTAAAACCGATAAATTTCGTAAGATATTTTATAAATAATAATACAAAGTCTACTGTGAAAATCGTCAAAATCTATGCTGTATAAGCTTTATCTCCTATAGCACTGATTGTTCAGATACCAGTTTTTGCGATATATCTCCTTTATGTAGGAAACTAAACCCAATAAATTGTGTTACCGGTTTACATACCGATCACATAGCGGTGAAAATCACTTAGATTGGTGTCATATAAAGTATATCTTCCATACCTCTGATTGTTTAGATGCGATTTTTTATATAAGTATGTAACTCCTCTATCGATGTATGCAGATGTATTCAAAAGCAGTAATCTGTCAAACTAAAATTTGCAGATGTTCATGAAAGGTATGAAGCCTTCGGCATAGCCGAAGACAGCGCTGCTCTTACTTGTTTTCATTTAATTCTGTTCGTTTTTGATGATGTTGCTGAAGTTTTTGTGACTTATGATGAGCCTGCTGTTGGCTGACATTCTTGTATTTGTTAGGGTTAACACTGCTGCCATGCAGTACTCTCTGAGATCATGCTGCGCATCATGATGATGTCAACAATCATGCTGACTGGGTGTAAAATAGTGACTGCTCGAAGCGACCTCCCATTCAACATGCGCTGCCTTACTTACAGCCTCAATGTGCGGCATTTATTCGGATGTTGTTGTTGCTGTTCTTTTGATATCAACTGCGCCTTGCATTTGCGCATGTTTTCTCAACTCGTCGGCCCACCGACTGACTGACTGACTAACTAAATGAGCATCTGGATATACACATGTACATACATACAAAAACCGAGCCCTAGCCGCCAAAAAATACGTAAGCAACATTTTTGTCAACATTTCCTTTTCGGTGCAGAAATACTCCTAAAGCACCTAGATGCATTTCCACATGAAAAAGAAGATTTCAAAAAAATTCGTTAACGTTTTTTTTGGCGGTTAGGGTTCTATATGTATAAATTTTGCTACTTCCGTCCCCTACACCCTTCGACCTTCCACTTGGCGCGTAGACTGCAACTATTTTTATGGCACGATAATTTCACTTGCAAGAACAGCACAGCAAACTACAAAGTACAAAATTAATAAAAAAAAAATACAAAAAATTGCGAGAACAACAAACAACGACAGCATGATCGCCAACAACAACAACGGCAGCATCAGTGGTGCGAGATCACATTAAAAACACCATCATCGCAGGCACCTCATCACATTATGATTGCTAGCTGGCTGTGTGTCCGCCAGTCTGTTTGTCTGCTGCCTTGCCTTCTTTGCGTGTAGAGCATATTGCTGTTGCATGCCACAGCTACAGGCATGCACATAAAGCACATGTGCTGCTGTGACAAAAATTTGTCAAAAGTGGCGTTGCACAAAAATAACCACGAAGCATTGCTTGGGCTTCTTCTGTAGCCACAAAAGGAAGTTCATTTTTATTGTTCCGTTTTTTTTCGAATTAATTCAAGTACATACAA